CTCATTTGAGGCACCCCTGCTTCTTAGAAGGCGCGGGCCTTGTCTCTAGATTTGAGGCCGGCGCCTTCTAAGGAGCAGCCTCTTTCTGAGAAGCCTTCCCCCCGCCCCCCTACCCCCGTGCGCCCTCCGCCAAATACCTCTCCGCAACAAGAAACGATCGGACCAGTCACATGTGCCAGCCGGCGCTGCCTTTTGACCAGTCGCGGCTCTGAGTCCCGCGGGCTTTCGATTTCCACGGCCTCCTCAGACCACGAGAACCTTGACCAGTATCGGCGACGAGCGGAAGCAGAGTTAGGGCAGGAGGCCGCCGGATTACGAGAGCGAAGACATGAAACACAGGGGGGCTGATATCGATCTTTGCTGGGACGTGCAGATCTCTGTGTTGACGTACGAAATTCGTTACTGACCCTGGCAGTCTCGAGCTCCCGGCAATGCACACACGCGCGGCGTCGCAGGCCCCGCCTTGACATGGTTGCGTGCTTGCAGAACGATCCCAGCCACAACCAAACGGGGAATCTTTGCGAATAAGAGAAAGTTCATGAAAGTGGCAGTTTCTGGCCTGAAGGGGCCACCGCTGGCAATAGTCCCTTGCAGACCACCTCTGAGGTCATGCGCAATATGTTCTTACCGGTTTCAGCCGTTTCCTTCCGAGTGGGTTCGTTTCCAGTGCGCTATGAGATTACGTCCGTGGCTTACCTCATGCGTCCGACTCTCCCTTTCTCTCGTTCTCATCTCTCTCTCTCTCTCTCTTTCTCTCCCTCTTCCTTGTCTAGTAGACATGCACTTGTACGGAAACGCTTATACTGAATTCGACATGCACCTCGTATATGTCAATGTATATACTTGTATGGCCTCTGGTGTCTCATTGAAGCCACTTGCAGATTACTGCTCATATATCTACAGATGTAGCGCATACCCTTCAGTTGTGTACATATACGTATATACGTCGACAGGTAGTCGCTCTTCCTGTACATACATCGACTCCATATATGTATGTATGTATGTATGTATGTATGTATGTATGTATGGATGTATGTATGCATGTACGTATGTAAGTATGTATATAAGCACGCGCACACACGTATATGCTTACCCATTCTCTTGTTTCCATATACGCATATGTAGATAAGTCTCACTTCCCTGTGTCTCGCCCTCTCTCTGTCTCCCAGTATTTCCTCTCCTTCTCTCACTGTCGCGCTCTTTCACTCTCTCTCTCTCTCTCTCTTTCTATCGCTCGCTCGCTCTCTCTCTCTCTCTATATATATATATATCTCTATATATGTGTCTGTTTGTTATTCGTCCCGCTGCAAGGTCCCAACCATGTGTAGCGATGGAGCTCCCTGCTTTCGTTCCGTAGTTGCCGTAGGTAAGTACCCCAACCCAATTGCTAATGTGCCTGTCGCCCAGGCACCCATCCAATGTGAAGCGTTGTCCGATGCTGGCCGCGTGGCAGTCAAGAAACATGCAGGCTCCCTCTGGCAAAGACGGGGGGAAAATCAAGGAGTAGGAGGCGAAATGAGAAGAGGGGGGGGAGAGAGGTAAGCGGGGCATGGGGTGATCAGGATGTGGAATATTACGGAGGAGACATGCTGGCTGGTGGTGAGACGGAGGAGGGGGAATGAGAGAAGAAGTGGACACCTAGGAAACATATGTAAAGTGAGAGAGAACAGAGAGAACAGAGAGGGGGAGAGCGAGAGAGAGAGAGAGAAAGAGACAAAAAGAAAGAGAGAGAGAGAGAGAGCGAGAGTGAGATAGAGAGAGACAGAGAGAGAGAGAGAGAGAAGGTGGTAGGCAGCGTGTGGCGAGTAGGCTGAAGTATCAGGTGGAGGACATACGCAGGCAGTCGGCTAAACGCTGTACGTTGCCGGGGCAGACGCGAGAACCGCGTCGGACGGGGGATAGAGGAAGCAGGACAGAGGAGTACATACGGATACCTGTAGTGCAACGGACAGCTCTTTTCCTTGCGCTCCCTCGAGCCCTTGGAGATGCGAGTCGCGATTCTTACGTCCTTTGTTCCACGCGCAAGCGTTCGGTCGCGCAGTGGATCGAGCGCTGCGCTCCCGCCAGCAGATCTCATTGAAAATGCGAGTCGCGATTGCTGCGTCCTCTGCTCCACTCGCAGGCGAGCGAGTGCAGACGAGACAGGCTGCCCGTACGTCCGGCGCCCTGGTAAGCATCGAAGTCTGTGGCCACTCTGCCGCCGTTTGTTGGCCCGTGGAGGCCGGCTATGGGCCTCTTGGGCCGTCAAGAGATGACCTGGGATGAGAAGCTGGCCGACGGGGAAGGGGGTTTGCGAGTCGGGGGCAGCGTAGATGCGGGTGACGATTGCAGTCAAAACCGATGATAAGGATGGGTAACCTTCCCAAGGGCACCGTTGCATCCTTGCCTCTTCGGTCCATCCTTAGTCACTCTCGACATGGGCTTCCAAGGGGCTTGCATCCTTGTCGCGCATCCTTATCATCAGTTTGATCTTAGGGGGGAAGGGTCTCATGGCCGCGGGTATGCTGTTTCCTCTGATGTCAGGGCCCCCTCTTTTTCTTCTAGCGCGTCCCCTGGTTCCCCCACTCGTCCTCGCGCGTGCCTCGGGCCATGATATGCGGCCCATCTCTTGGACGCCCTCCGCATGGGCGGCCCCCGGAGAGGTCCGGTGGCTGACGGCTGACGCTGCGGGCAAGATTCATTTCCATGTCCACTGCGTCCTGAACTTTCTGGGCAGGGGCGCCAACAGACCGAGGCACAGTCGACATGAATAAAAGCGAGTGTCCAGGGGCCAGATTCTGATCCATGTCCACTGCGCTCCGGTGGTCTGGGGAAGAGGGCCCGGAACCCCAAGATGCAGTGGATGTGTCGGGCCGGTAGTATGGGGGGGTGACCTGAATGGGGGAAGGACCCTAAAGGGGCCCTGCTCTTCACCCTCCATTGAGGCCACCCCCCATGACCACCCGCCCGAGTGGATGTGGATTTGCATCTTGCCCGCAGACGCGTCGAATAAAGCCGGAGCGCCAGACGTCTGGCTGCACCTCGCGCCCGTGTGTCACGGCCAGCTGCCCGGCGCCAGATTGCTCTCGTCGTCCCCCGTGCGCGGGACGCGCTTCGTGCGGGCAGCAATCAGACAATCAAGCAGTGGCGAGGCGTCCTGGCTTGCCTATCGGCGCACCGAAGGAAGTTCCGAAAACCTTCACGGTCTGCACGGAATGTTCTTAGAACAGGTCCGGCTGAGACCGTCGTGTTTTCATAAGTCTGGGACATTCTTCTGGTCTACGAAGGTTTCGTGGTAGGCTTGCAGGAATGCCCCGGGACGGTCGGCCCTTGTTCACGACAAGGCGCTCGGTGGCGACGGGGCTACGGGGGAGCCGCTCCTTTCACGGGGGTCACTCGCGGGGCCCTGGGCGCCCTGTTTGGGCGCACAGGGCCGCACAACAGTGCCCCGCACGCACGGGCGCTCGGGTGAGCCGCCCGAGCGGAACAAGGAAAACATGCCGCGGCAGTGCCGCGGCGTCGGAGGCCTTCTCGAGGTGGGGAATGTTTTGACCCGAGGGCCTGTCAGTGTGGCGGGGGAGAGGGGGGGAGGGGAGGGGAAGGGGAGGGGAAGAGGAGGGGAAGAGGAGGGGAGGGGAGCGGCGGCCGATTACCTCCTGAGAGCGGCCCTCGGGGTCCAGCCGAGGCCCCCCTGGGGCCCTTTTTCTGGCTTCTTCCGGCCTCGCGGGCCGAGGTGGAAAACGACATGGCTGCTGTCGCCGAAGGCAGTCCGGAGAGCGACGTGGAGTCCGAGATCAACGATGAATGATCATATTCGGGCGAAGAGAAATATGCACATGCACCGATCCTGACAACGTCCATCCTTGACCCAGGATCGGTGCATATGCCTTCCTGGCCAAGGTAGGAGGGCATATGCACCGATCCTGGGCTCAGGATGGGTCTGGCCAGAATCGGTGTATGTGCATAGTTCTTTTTCCTCTACATATGATGCATGCGCACCCGCTGGTGGACCAGCATCCGCTGGTACCCACAAGGGTTATGAGCCCAATCTGCACGAATTCACTCTAAGTGGTCCTTCGGGGTTGCCCGGGGCATGTTCCGCAGGAAACTCAAGACGCAACGAAGATGTCACGAATTTCGCTGCCAGGGTTGCCCGGGGCATCCATACGGTTTGGTCGGGCACAGCTTTGCAGACACCCCTCACACACGGAAGAGAAGGCGAGGGGAAGAGGAGGGGAGGGGGGGGAGGGGGGAGGAGAGGGGAGGGGGAGGCGGGGGGGGGGGGGATACGGGGAAATGGAGAGGGTCACAGACTGGGCGCGAGAGAGAGAGAGATAGAGGGAGAGGGCGAGAAAGAGGGAGAGGGAGGGAGAGAGGGAGCGCCACAGTTCGGACGGCAGATCGTCCAGGCCCTGCGGGGCCTGGCTGCCGCTCAGGCCCACCTGACACTAACGGGAGGTGCCGCAAAGCAAACATGGGTGGGGAAGAACACCCTCCCCCATGGCGCGGTCTGCAGCGGACCCCGAGACAAGAAGAAACGGGTCTGCGGCGATCTGAGCGTGGCGCACCCCGCTTGCACACCCGAGCATAAGGCGCCGGCCTCAACGGAGAGGGAGAGAAACGATATATATGTATATATATACATATATATACATATATATATACATATATATATATATATGTATATAGAAAGAGAGAGAGAGAGAGAGAGAGAGAGAGAGAGAGAGCGAGAGAGAGAACAACAAAAATAAATAAAAACTAGTTCGGACGGAGTTTATCCAGCCGACTGGGATTACGAGCGCGCCCCGCTCGGCCGCTCCTCCATGAGCCCGCCAGGAGCGCAGCGAATACAGTAGGAGCCCGTGGCGCTCCTGACGTGTGACCGACGGAGAGGCGCATGACAGAGTGAGAGAGGGAGAGAAAAAAAAAGACAGGGAGAGGGAGGGAGAGAGCCGGATACAGAGACAGGGAGGCGAGCACGCCAGGCAGTGGATTCGCTTGCGCGCGCTGGTGCCTCTTGCTGGCTCGAGCTCAGTCGAGGCGCCCGCCTTTGGTCTAAAGAAATACACGCCATCCACACGCCTTCCCTCTTAAGGCGCCGCCCACCCGCCGCTCGCCCGTAGTCGTCGCGTTACCATCGTCGTCGTCGTCACCCTCCTCCTCCTCCTTCTCCTCCTCCTACTCCTTCTCCTCTATCCCTCCGTCTCCTCCTCGAGGCTCCTCCTCTATCCCCTCTTCCTCTGCGCCGCGGTTCAGACAGCGACGAAGACAGGCAGACGGACGGCCCGGACAGCCAGGCGGCGCGCAATGCATGGGAAGCCGAGTGAGTGGTCATTGCATCAGGGAATCAAGTCCATGACCACGACTACGCCGACGACGACGACGCAAACGATCCGCACAGAAGCAAGGATTTGGGGAAGGGCCCACACTGCCGGTTCGGTTAGATAGCACATCGTTGAGCGGTGCTGCAGCCTCCCATGAGCACAGCCCCCCCGCGAGCAGTCGCCAGACAAGTCGGGTTTACACCCTCATGCCTTGCTTGCTAGACTCTGAGCGCGTTGAAGACAGTGTCCAGCCAGAGCCCCACCTTTGAAAAATGAGCCGCCCTCCACCCGGGTGGATGCTGCACATGCTTACACTTCTTGCCATAACAGTGAAACAAGCAGGCGTACCCGCCCATGTTCACAAGGACCCGCCTACGCAGCAGTTGTTCGTTCAAATTGCCAAGAAATTGATGTAGTCGAGAGAGGAAGTTCTGTTTTGAAATGGAGCTGCTTTCCAACAGTGTACGTCGCGGGTCGACATGATCGAGACGGATGTGCGTGGCGTTGAGGCGGCATTGTGTAACAAGTGTGAAACACGATGAGATAATCAGAATTGTGTCATACGTTCGGACTGATTACGCACCATTATGAAATTTGATAATTTTCCATCCGCGTAGCTGCTAGATGCTGTTCAGACGAATGTGCGCAGCGCTATGTCGAGAGCCACGTGTTGAAACTCGTCCGTCCTACGTAGGTGTAGCTGCGGGACATCCTAATCATTCAGACCATCTCAGGTCAGGAAGTCTCAGGCTAAACGGCTGGCCCGCTCTATCGATACCTCTGGTGGTGCGATGAGAGGGAATCACCTTTCACGGAAAACGGATGTAAGAGGAGAAGAGGGGGTGAGGAGCAAGAGGAGGAGTAAGAGGAGGAGGAGGAGGAGGAGGAGGAGGAGGAGGAGGAGGAGGAGGAAGCTCAGAATTAAGCTAGGCCGAAGGCGCCCTTTCGCATTAATCGCGGTATGGACACTAGGCCACCGAGTACTTGCGCGACCTCGGACAACTGGGCAGCCAAGTAAACCCTACGATTGCTGTCTGGATCCGCACCCGTCTATTTGTGTGCGCAATAGGTGGGAGAGAGGGAGAGGCCGCGGATCATGACCCACACCTGCAGCCGAAACCTGATACGTGTAATGTTTCACCGCCTGTTTGGCCTGCTGGGCTGGCCCTGGGCCCCGGCCAGGACTTCCAGAAAGCGGCCTGGGAGGAAGACCGGCCTCCGGAGGGGGTCGAGAGGCCCAGGGGCCACACGGAGAAGCAGAAGGCACGACGGCTGTTTGAGCACGGTCCAGCCATCGGGTGCTACGGACCACCACGGGCCACTGGGCTACAGAAACAGCTGGCCACGGGCCGCCAGGCCCGAGAGCGAGCGACCACTTCGGCTCGGATCAGCCCCAGACTTCCAACAACATGTTCAGACTATCAAGGCCGATTTTCACTATTGCGAAGGCCTTACGGCCGGTGCTGCCGACCCTGAAGAACGACCCTGACCACGACGAGGTAGAGGAATGAGGAGGAGGAGGCGCAGGAGGAGGGGGAGGAAGACGACGCCGAGGAGGTGGAGGAGGTGAAGAAAAAGAACGAGGAGGGGGAGCAGCAGGAGCGGGGTGGCGATGATGTGGAAGAGCGTGGGGATGTGGAGGCCGAGGTTGAAGGGAGGGAGGGGGCTGCGCATCGGCAGGGATTGCAAGGGAGCCTGGAACAGGAGAGAGATGACGGGGTTGGGCTGAGGATGGCACGGATTCAGAGCAATGATGCAAAAAGGGCGTCTGTCCGAAGTCGACCAGCGTTCGCAAGCAATATGATCTCGATCCGATTCCCGCCGCACATGTGCCATTGCTGGCGTTTGGGGTTCTCTTGGAGCATCTTTGGGGCCTTTGGGAACTTCTTGGGGGGCTTTTGAGAGCCTCTTGGAGGCTTTGTGGGGATCTCCTGGAGGGTTCCTGGGGACCTCGGGGCCGAGGGTTCGAGATATTCGTACGGGTCCTCCGTCTGGGCTCCCTTTCGAAGCCGTTCCGGGGCTTCGTGGGGTGTATTGAGAGTTCTAGGGTCGTCTTGGAAGCCTTATAGGGCGTTTTGAAGCCCTCCTGGGGACGTCTTGGGCCGTGTTGGGGTTGTGAAAGCTGAAATGGCGAAGATGGTGAAGAGATTTGTTTTCCCAAAGGAATGCGACGATGTTGCTGTTTAGTGCGCTTGTGGGACCTTTGGGGGAGCGCTTTTGGAGGCTTCGTGGGGCGTCTTCGAACCATTCTGGCTGTCTGAAAGCCATCTTGGGCGCTGAGGGACTCATCGTTCGGCGATGCGGGGCTCTCGTGGACCGTAGTGAGAGCTTCTCTGGGCACTCTTGGACGATCTTTGTGTTTTGTTTGAAGCTCGGGAGACCCGAGGGTGGTGGCATTTTGACCGGGACCCCCCCCCCCCCCCGCGGGGAAGGGATCAAGGGAAGGGTCTTCCCTTCGACTAAACTGCGTACGACGTTCTAGCTGGCGCGCCTGAGGAGGAGAGTCGAGGGAAAGAGGACGACGACGACGACGACGACGACGACGACGCACGGAAGAGCCCCTCCCACACGCCGATAGGGTCGGCGGATTTTCGGCCTCTGGGTGCCGTCTCCGGACCCGTCCAGAAACAACATGTGTCGAAGAAGCGGCTCCCGGTAAGGGGTCGCGAGCGCGGGGGCCCGCGCATTCAGCAAGAACGCGCCAGAGGTCTGTGTCCGTAGCCCGGTTCAGGCAGGCGCCAGCCAGGCGCGACCTCGGGGGAAGCGCGCGCATGGCGCTCGGCCCGGTGGCCGCCGCGCTGCCTCTCGGCCGCTGCCGCGGCGCGCAGCGGCTGCCGTGGCGCTGCCCGCCGCGCGCCCCCGCCACTGCCGCCCCGCTGCGGCGCCGGGCCCGCGCCACGACCCGCGCAGGCCGCCCGCGCCCGCCGCGGAGGCCCGCGGGGGCACTCGGCGCGGCCGCCCCCGCGCTGGCGGCCGCCGCCGCCCTGGTCGGCCGACGCGCGGGGCTGCTCCGCGGTGGCCCTGGTCCGGCGCGGCGTCGCGCGTGCAGGGCACCAGCGGTTTCCGCCTCCTCTCGGCTACGCCTTGAAGAGTGACCTTTCGCCAGGGTGACCGTTGGTGCGGGCTTCCTGGGGCCCCCAGGTGGCTGAAAGGGGCGCGACAGCGGCGACCCGCGTGCTCGGGCTTGGCTGGGGGCTTTGGTGGAGCTCCCCGTGGGGCCACGAAGCTCTGTACTGGGTGGATGAAAATGCCAAATTCATTCGTCCCGGACGGTCCCATTGGCGGCTTCGGTGAAGCTCCGTAAGGGGCCACGAAACGGTTTACTAGGTGGGTGAAAATGCCAAATTCATGTGTCCCGGCCGATCCCACTGGGGGGCTTCGGTGGAGCTCCGTATGGGGCCCCCCGAAGCCGCGCACAACAGGTCACCCTAGAATAGGGCCACTCCTGCGCGTAGCCGATCCTCCGCCTCCGCCTCCTCCTCCGCCTTCTCATCCGCCTCTTCCGTCTACTCCGCCTCCGCCGCGGGGGCCACGGAGCCCAGCCTGGACCTCCAGCTGCGCGGCTTTGCCGCGGCGGTGCTGCCTGGGCCGGAGGTCAAGGCCCGCCGTCGGGAGTTCCTCTCTCGGGTGGAGGCGGCGGCGCAGGAGCGGCTGGGGCCCGACGTGCGGGTCCTGCCTTTTGGGCCGGCTGTCACTGGCTGCGGGGAGGCCAGCGCCGACGTGGATGCCGTGTTGTACGTGCCCATGAACGCCGAGCGGGCGGCGCGGGTCTCCTCGTCCAGGCGCCGGTTCGCCAGCGAGTGTTTACACCTCGTGCTGGCGGCGTGCCGGGATCGCGGCATGGACGAGTGGAGCGGCACGGAAGGCGGGAGGCTGGTGGAGCAAGTGCAAGTGCGCGGGCCCGGTGGGTGGCGCTCTTGTGTGCTCAACTCGTGCAGGCTCCACCCCCAGAGCCTCCTGCCGCTCTGCGACGCGCAGCTGCTGCGCACGTACGTGGAGCTCCAGCCGAGCCTGCCGATCCTGGTGGTGGCGGTGTGGCGCTGGGCGGAGGCGGTCCGCGTCTCTAGAGCCTGGGGTGGGTCCCTGTCGCTGCACTGCTGGACCCTCCTGGTTGTGTACTTCCTCCAAGTCCGTCACGGCCTCGCCTGCCTGCACCAGCTGGCTCCACGCGATGGCCGCGGCGGGGGACGCGGCGGCCCACCGGCCCTCGATGCTCGCTTCGCCACCACGGCCGAGGCACGCCTGGCGCTGGGCGCGGAGGAGGGCCAGCCCGCCCCCTCTCTGGCCTGGCTGCTCCAGGACTTCTTCGCGTTCTATGCGCAGACCTTCCGCTGGGCCTCGGAGGTGGCGTCCGTGCGGCTCGGCCGCCGCGTGCCGCCCGGGGGCCGCGCCCAGTGCTTCCCCGAGCTGCAGAGGAGCGCGAGCGGCCTTGACATCGAGGATCCGGTGGAGGCCTGCTCGAACTTGGGCGCCTGCATGACCGCCGAGCGGGGCCGAGAGGTCAGGGCCGCACTCCAGCACGCTGCGTCGACGCTGGCGGAGGGCGGGGGGTTCGAGGAGATGCTGCTGGGGCTGGGCGCCGAGGGCCTGCCGTGGCAGATGCCGGCGGAGCCTGGTGCTGCTGCGCTTCGCCAGGAGGCCGGGCGCCTCGACCTGCCCGTGCTGCACGCTCCCGCCGCCTGCGTCTGTGGCGTGTGCGGCAGGCGGTTTGGCGGTGCCGTAGCCTTCCGGCAGCACCAGGTGGACCGGGGCCACTACGACGCCCAGGATG